TGTAAGAATACAAATATTTATGTTAAAAATCACTGATTACTAAATGAATTTGTAAACTAATGTACACTGTTTTGTGATAAACTCCTTATCTCTATCACAATTAACAACGACTTAACGAAAGAGACGAGTAAACGAATCACAGGACAGAGACATAAAGATCATCAGAAAAATGTATACAATTAAAAAGGAAAATTAAAGTCTATTTATATTAAACAATAGGATAACTATTTGCTTTACTCGACGGCCAGTGCTTACAATAAATCAAAAGTAACTTATTATATGTTTAACGTGTGTATCAAACGGCGTGCGTCTATGAAACTAATTATAAATTTCAATTCACTGAAATACAGTGCGATAATAACAAATCGTTAATTTATTTTACCATATTATAATCATAACAAATAATTAAATAATGTTGTTAAACTGTCAAATAATTGTGTTCATTATATTTTGCATAGTTATCACTAAAGGTTTGTTAAATTTTTAAAACCTATTATTAAATTTTTTTAAATAGTTAATACTAAAAACACTTCGTATGCTTGCATTCTTGCTGTGTGTGCATGATTATTTATTTATAAAGTAATTAAATCTTTAAATTATACTTAAAATTTCTTGATATTTTTTGTTATAATTACTAAAATATTGTGATACAGTATAAGTATAGTTAATCATTCAACTTATTTTATAACAGACGTTATATCTAACAGGATCAGTTATAGGCTTGATGTTACAGTTGAATACAATTTAAAATAAGTGTTGTATGTTATAGTGAATACGAACGCACCCCGACATAAACCCCATCACAACCGGCACAGAGAAGGGGCTGTTTTTGGGGCTCACGACGGCTCGCATGGCTCGTATGGATCGCATGACGCACTCCCGCCGGGAGATCCGCTTCGGCCACAACACACCTACTTTAGAAATGAGGGCAAAGCGCCCACTGTTGTGGTCGACCCAAATTGGGCCAAACAACTCATGTATCCCTACGAACAAGAAGATTACTTAACATCGATTAACTCGATGAAACAGATGCACGACCAGCCCCTGCCCTTCCGGTTACCATTTTCCGGATTTGCCTTTAACTACGTTTGGGTATCAAAGCAAATACTTTGTTATTTTATGGAACAATTAACTTATACATGTATAACTTTTTATAAAACTGGGAATTATTGAAACACAACTTAAATTTTAGGTGCATAAAGACGGTTACGTGACGTTCAATAAGGGCCTAAAGAGTTACGCGTTTCCCCTATCGTTCCCAATGGTTCCCGACGACACCAATGTAGAGGAGGACCCGTCCATAATAGCAGCCTTTTTCGCCCACCAGGACATACCGTCTGACGTGGAGGGCTCGGGGGTGTACTTCCGGCTGATCGAAGTGGACAAAGAGGTCAATTTGACTCTTAAACAACGTCTACTCGACGACTTTAGCACAGCTATGGCCGCCTCCATTGGTTGGGAGCCCAAGTTTGCATTTATTGTAACATGGAAGAATATGACATTTGCCAATCGACGCAGGGAACGCGACCTCAAGGTATGATCATGGTGTAATCACACTCGTGTAATTAGTATTTACAAATATCTATTCTACATTAATATGCTTTTCATAACTCTAACAACGTTATTGTGTGTATATATTGTAACGCAAGATTTTTTAAATATAAAAACTGTAGAATATACGGCAAGGTTTATGTGACTGTAACTCTTGACTCACATGTAAGAGTTTTGAGTACATTTATGTTGATTTTGGTTTACTAACAACTGTTAGGATTATGATAATAATTAATATTAACAATTTATGTGTGTTTTGTAGACAAATACATATCAAATGATTTTAGCGACGGATGAGATGCAGACATTTGTGATGTTTAATTACGAGCAGATCTCATGGGTCACACATCTCGATAACTATGCCGGCCTTAACGGACCGCAAGCCTTTGTAAGTGTATTTTGACTATAAATTAGCTATTTTTAAATGTCATTTATTGTATTTATAATTAGTTATATATATAATTTTTAACGTCATAATTTAACTAGATTGGTTTTAACGGTGGAAATTCTACCCAGGCATACGAGTATTCGCCCTTCTCGCAAAACCCTCGGGTTATACTACTGCCCAAAATGGGTTGGGGTAATGGTATTGAGGGTAGATTTTATTTTACCATAGACGAAGAGCTTGAACCAGGTGCTTGCGTTAATAAGGAGCTTGATCCTAATTTGCCCGATAGAATGGTCAGTCATACTGTCACTTATTTTATTGTTGAGTATATTTATGTTTTTTATTGTTTGTGCCTGTATGGGGACGGGTAGCCGCTGCACACGTCGACCGATTATATAATCATGTTAGGCGGTCAAGAGCTCAACTTTACCGGTCCGTGTCTGACAGAGGACTCGAACATAATCTGTCGGTTCGATGTGTTGAAAGTAAAGGGCCGTATGTTGACCAACAATATTGGCGCCTGTATTACACCCGCCGTCATGTATGAGGGTTTGTATTATATTTTTTATTTTTGTAATCATTTATTTATTGTGACTCTAATATTATTATTTTTAAAATTTTTTATGAACCAACTTTATAATTTATTACATGAATTGCAAGTTATTAGTGCACTCAAATAGTAATAGGCTATTATTAATAGCATGTTAAATGATTTTAAACTGCTTATTTTATTATTTCTGTTAATTATATAATTGTTTTATTCATTTATAATAGTATTTTTAGATAACAACCTTTAATATTATAATTTATATTTAATATTATAATAAAACTATAGGTTATGTGGATTTCACTGTAACTGTTGACGATAAAACGTTTTGGTACTCAAGAATGTATGTTCGTAAGTATGACATTAATTTTTAAATTAGATATATTGTTTGTTATACCGTTAGTTTGCTCATGCACAGTTCAAAAGATTATTATACCTATAAACCCTTCTATAATACACAATACAGTTGAGAAGTATAGAATATTTAAAACAAATAGAGATCAAATTCTAGATAAAATAAAATAACATGAAGCAATCACATGAACGTATTAAGTTTTGAAAAATACAATACTTATTATTATAGGAAAAGTAAATAAGAGGTACAAATAGGCACTCTATTCATCCAAAATGACAATTAATTTTCATAAAGCAATCAATTTAATTACAATCCTAAGTAAATAACTCATACTTTGACCACAGAATCGCCCGAAAGTCGCAAAGAATTTGACGTTTGGGTGAAAGAACAGGAAGTGGTGGAGAATCTGCCGGTCGAGCGCCGGCCCGAAGATCCACACCTTTTAACCATAGAGTGGCAAAGCGATGACTTGACGTGGGATGACAGCGCCCGGGTCTCCATATCCCTCTGGGGCTATAGCGAGAAAACCGATGTCTACCCTCACCTCACATTCCTCATTG